GACACTTGTGCCATTTCAACCCCATCTCAATGTTCTTCCAAATACATGGGTATACAAGATCAAATGCAACTTCAATGGGTCCGTCGAATAGTTCAAAGCCTGTGTCGTTGCTAACGGCTTCCACCAACAGGAAGGCATCAACTATGTAGAAACGTTTAGTCATGTGGTTACGCATGCCACTATCAGATTAATTCTTTTTGTTGTTGCTCTTCACTATAATTGGTCCATTCGCCAATTGGATGTTCAAAATGCGTTCTTACATGGCTCTCTTTCTGAAGATGTTTATATGCACCAACCCCAAGGCTTTGTTGATCCGCAATTGCCCACTCATGTTTGCAAACTACAACGTTTTCTTTATGGCCTCAAACAAGCTCCATGAGCATGGTTTTAGTGTTTTTCCAATTATCTCGAGGAACTCGGGTTGGTTACCTCTCAGGCTAACTCATCTTTATTCACCTACTTTAATGGTACCACCATTATTTATTTGTTGATTTACGTAGATGACATTTTGGTTACTGGCAATAGCATAGATTACAAAACTCTTTGCTCAACTTGGTTTAATGTTTTCCATGAAAGATCTTAGGCCCCTCCATTATTTTCTCGGTATGGAGGTCACACGAACATATTTTGGTTTTCATTTAGCTCAGGCTAAATACATCAAGGACCTTCTCACACACACAAACATGGCAGATTGTAAACCTATTCACACGACATCTTCTCCTGGCTTTCTTCTTCTTCTGCACGACGGGGACCCTCTTTCTTCTACACGACAACTCTTCAATATTTACCCTTCACCCGTCCTGACATTGCCTTTTCCGTCAACCAGGTTTGCCAGTTTATGCACTCTACCACCACAGTACATTGGGCTGCTGTCAAATGCATTTTGCATTATCTTAAGGGCACTCATGATCATGGCCTGCTCTATCGTCCGAGTTCTTTCTCTATCATTGCTTATGCCGACGTCGATTATGTCGATGATCCTAATGATCGCCAGTCCATAGGAGGTTACTATATTTTTCTTGGTTCTAATTTGATTTCCCAGAGCTCAAAAAAGGAACGTGGTGTTTCTCGCTCCAGCACTAAAGCCGAGTATCGTCAACTAGCATATACTGTCGCCATTTTGTCTTGGTTTCGAAACTTATTTCATTATCTTCATCTTTATCTTACACCACCTCAATTATGGTATGATAATATGAATGCTCTTGCCGTTGCTTCTAATCTTGTCTACCAAGCACGAATGCACCATGTAGAAGTTGATTATCATTATGTTCGTGAAAAGGTCACTCGAAAGGAAATTGTTGTGGGCTATGTTGCTTCTCAAGATCAGGTGGCTGACTTTCTCACCAAGGGTTTGTCTTCCACTTGGTTTCGTTTCCTTCTTTCCAAGCTTCCTATTCTCAGTCGTCTGCTCAGCTTGCAGGGGCGTGATAAACTATAGGTCTCCAATACATATCCTCAAGGTTGTTCATTGTGACTCCTTCACTCAAGTCACCTCTGCTGAGAGTTATCTGATATGCTCTTTTGTATTATCTCCTAGCTTTAGGGATTTATAGAATTGTTATTGAACACTACTTGTAACTTATTGATGTAAATCATCTTTATAAATACAAACTTACCATCTCTCTCAGATTTAACTTGGTTGAGCATCAATAACTCTTTTAGCCCTTTACACTCTTATGCTTGATTATTTCTCTTTCAATCAAAATGTTTACACTATGGGAATAAGGAGTTCAACTAAGCCACACTATGGGCAGCCTAATTTGGTATCAAATTCGCCATCCACAAGATTCGAACCTAAGACCTCTCATTTCCAAGTAAAGATGAATACCACTAGACCATGATACTGAGTGACCCAACATTGGCTTCGTATTGAGATTAACATAAATATCCTCAATATAAGACTTGCAGGAAATGAAAGGTAATTAACCTAACTTACTTATAAATAAGAAACAAACCCTAACCCTGATGAGAAACAAATTATACAAGGAAAAGATCTTTTAGATCCTATAAGATTCTTACTTTTAGTTTATACAATCACATTCTTATTTAATATTAACTGCAATACTCCTCCTTGTGTGTAGAACTAAAGAAGTTGCATTAGGTATTCAAGAAAATATGGAAGCGACTGATCAAATATTCTTGTTAGGCACATGTAATGCATACTCAAGTCTTTAAGTAGTGATGCACTTAGGAGCGTAGTCTCACCAAAATCTAGTTACAGTAAATTCAATGGGACAAACTTGTAGTCTAAGGAGAAAAGATGAGTTAATGCAATATCAATGCTTGAGATGAAAACGGCAGTAAATGCACAAGTCAAGGTATGACCAACCCGATGTGGGTGCCTCGTTAAAACCTCGTTAGGTTAGCAAAAACTAGTGGAACAAAGTGCTCCTGATATGAGGAAAAAATAATACATTAAGGCCAAGTGAGTATACTGCATCATACTCCCTTGATTTTGACAAAATTCCCCTTGAGAACTACTGGCATTGTAAATGAGGCAATGTAAGCAATCCAACTCCTTGGACAAACTTCGGAAAAGTAAACTTCAGCAATAGCTTCGTGAAGAGATCAATGAGGTTGTCTGAACACCCCAAAATTACAAAGACTTGGGATTTCGAGAATAGGGGATGATGGGAAATAGAGGAGATGGTGAAAAAAAAGTGGAAAGTGAATGCAGAAATGGTGAAATTAGGGTTGAGATTTAGGTGGTACGAAGGAAAATTGCAAGTGAACCAAGAAAATAAAACTGAAAATATGACTTTAGCCCCTAAAACTTAATTTTCTCTACATAAAACCCGACATAAGTTTTTTTCTTGAATAAAACTAGGCCTGGCATTTTGGACCCAACCCGTTAACCCGATCCGACCCAAACCGTTAATATTTGTATTTGGGTGGATGCTTAACGGGTCGGGTCGCTAACGGGTGAACCCGTTAACAACCCGTTAAATAACGGATCACTTTGGGTCAACCCGTTAGACCCGTTAGGACCCGTTAACACCCGTTAGCACCCGTTAGTTGAGGATATTTTAGTAATTTTAGTAAAGTCTTAATAACAAAAAATAAACTTTATGCAAAAAAAAATAATAATAATAATTGTTAACGGGTGTTAACGGGTGAAACGGGTGACCCGTTAGCTTAACGGGTCGGGTTCAGATGACCCGTTAGCTTAACGGGTTGGGTTCGGGTGACCCGTTAACTTAACGGGTCGGGTTGAACCCGACCCAAACCCAATAAACCCGACCCGTTTACAGGTCTAAATAAAACCCATTGACTAGCTTCCACATCAGCAAATTCATTAATTATGTTTAACTTCACATAGTAAAAAAAATTTGGATGCCTAAAATACCCCTATTTGAATTTTTCTTTAAACCCTATTAAATGTTTGATGTACATAATTAATGCCATACGGATGGATGGTAAGGGAGAATTAATGATTTTACAAAAAAAAGGTTAATGTTATAAATTCATTGCCTAATATATAATAACATAAAACATGTCTAATATATGTTATTATACATGCTTAATTAAGTCAATAAAATTATATTTTACATATTAATGTAGGTAAATTATTTCACACACACACACACACACATATATATATATATGCCTGATATATGTAAAATTCATGCAAAATAATTTAACTACAAAAAAAACATTTGATTCAAATAGTGCACCTACTATTAAATTTTTAAAATGTTAGAGTGCTTAAAAAAAGAAAAATAATATACCCAGTATATGTAAAATACATGAAAAATAATTTACCTACATAATAACAAACCCATATATGCAAAATACATGCAAACTAATTTACCTTATAAATTCATTGTTTAAGTTTTAAAAGAAACAATGTTTCTACTAGTTTTTTTTTCTTCCAAAAATAAAGTACCTATTATTTAATTTTTACGAAAACTGTGTACCTATTGTGTAATTTAAAAAAAATTACACACTGTTTATTTTTTTTTATGAAAATAATGTAACTATTGTTTAGTTTTTACAAAAACAATGTATCTACTAGTTTATTTTTACCTTTTTTTTTTAATTTTCACAAGTTAATGTATCTACTATTTCAATAGAATGTATATTGAACTAATTAGATTTGGATTAGGCAATTTCACATAAAAGAAGAAAAGAACTTCTTCTCTCTTTTTCTTTTTCTTTTTTAAATTAAAAGCAAAAAAAAAACTTAAACTAATTGAATGTTGTTGACAAACAAAAGACAATAAATTAAAAGTATACAAAAAAAACCATAATAGCCATATTAATGTTGGTGGCATGGTGTTGTAAATAAATTTAAATGTATGGACATCTTTTATCTTACATGGCATTAAATTCAAAATTTGGGTTTTATTTAGATGCTTTAATATAGGTGAGTTTATATCTAGAGTTCAACAATTGTAAGGCGCTAAATCTAAAGCACCCAAAATAAAACCTAAGAAAATGAAAACAAGTGGCATTGGAGGGCCCAAAATAGGCCAGGGACCTAGAAACCCTGCACAAGTACAACTCATCAAATATAAGGTGCCTGGGGCCGGGGGAGTCCAGTATGGAGAAATCCAATTGAGATGTCAACCCATTTCCCAATGGGCAACTAATAAATTTTGAGCTCCAACCCAAATGAAGAAACAATGACCAACTTGAACAACTTATTGACACTGTTAGACTGTTACTCGTCCAATTTCTCAGTAATCAAGGATCCTAAAATTTATACTCGAGGAATGCAAATGTGAGTTAGAACAGTTGGTTAGGGTAGTGTGTCCGCCTCGTTGCAGAACCGCACCTTTTGATAAACTTTTATCTCTCATTCTCTTTGCTCATGTAGTCGTCTCATTATTTTCTTCATCTTGACCGTGGTCATTTACTTACGGTTGTTAATTACACGACACATTTTAATTAAGCAATTAATCTAAAGACGCGAAGCAATTCTATAAAGCACATGTACAGTCATTCGCATTTTGTTTCCCCCTCACCTAAAACCAACGCACATAAAATTGGATTCTGGATGAAAACAGAATCATGCCAATATTTGACATTGTGAATCCTGCGTCGGAGAATTAAGGGACCGTAGATGTGCATACAACGGGTTGGGACACATTTTGATTTTATGGTGGAAACTTGACTTCCTTCGTCGTAGAAACTACCTTGTTCCCATTAACTTTATTCGAAACTAAAACAACATGAAAAACGAAGCTGAAGATATGGAAAACTAGACAATCTAACGCGATAACTTATACTCACAAATTCTCTTAAGAGATATACTGTCGGTTCTTCGTTCTTGTTCAATCTGTTGAGCCACATCATATGCTGCATCTACACCGACCGTCAACTAGTAGACAAGCATAGCACCTCTTAACTAGCGATTTCATTTCCCTCTTCAGTTTTTGGTTCTTGTTCAATCTGGTGAGCTACATCATATGTTGCATGTACACCGACGAACAAATAGTAGAGAACCATGACTGCGGTGCAAATGAAAAACCTCCAGAATGCAACATAACCCAGAGACCCAATGAGAAAAACATTAATTCCAATCGACAATGCAGGCAACCACGGAACAAGTGGAACCCCCCAAACCTTAGGAACTCGGTGCTTTGGAAGCAATGCCATCCACAAAGTCCCCGATAACCAAATCACAGAAAACACTACATACCAAACCCACCCGCGCATGCCTTTATCCCAAACCGCCGTAATTCCAGTAGAACCACCGATTATTAAGAACAAACATACAAGGAATTGGACCAAATCAATCGTTGGCGTCACATCCTTAACATAATATCGCCTCACAAGCAATGCAATAGCCACAAACATAAATATGCAGAGCGTACTGAAAGAGAAGACGCTCGACAGCACATCCAGACTAGTGAATAGAGCAACAACCGCACTAATTAAGGTTACCAATGCAGTAGCATAAATGGGGGTTCCAGTTTTCGGGTGAACCAAAGCAAACCAGGGTGAGATCATATGTGCTCTTGCAATCTGAGTGGTATACCTAGCTTGCCCCATAGACCCAACCAGCAGACTTGTAGTCATTCCCTTGAGGGCACATATACTCACTAAGTACTTAGCCCAACTCATCCCAATTGCCTCAAAAGCAACCGAATAAGCGGCATCTTTATCGATTTGAGTGTATTTCTGCATCATACTCAACACCAAAGCCATCAAGCAATAAACCACTGTGATCAGACTCATAGAACCAACCAAACCAACCGGTATGTCCCTCGAGGGTTTCTTCGCTTCCTCGGCCATATTGGCAACCATATCGAAACCAGTATAAGACCAGTACACAACAGCAGCCGCCTCGAAAACGCCCTTTGCCCCATATGGGAAAAAGGGCACCAAATTCTCAGTCTTTCCCTTAACAAACCCAACAATCAATATAAACACTATGATCAAACCACTAGCTATGGAAGCAATCCAATTCAACACAGAAGTCCTCCTAGTCCCACTTATTGCAATACTATTAGCAACCAAAAGCACCACAACAGCTATTGGGTCCAAAAGATTAAACCCATCAGGCAGAGACTTTACACGAATTCGCAGAAAATCGGTGTCATCAGTCCTTAAAATGCTGGCAAAGTAAGAAGACCAAGACCTTCCGAGCCCTGCCGAACCCACCAGAGCCTCCAGGAGGATGTTCCCCACAGCAATGAACGCCACAAAGTCCCCCAACTCGATCCGAAGATACGAAAACGACCCGCCGGCAACTGGGACTTCGACGGCGAACTCTGAGTAGCACAAAACCGAGAGCAAAGCAGAGAAGCCAGAGATGGCGTAGGAGAGAACAATGGCCGGACCGGCGTTCACGCGGGTTGCCTGCCCAGTGATGACGAAAATGCCTGAACCAACGACGGAGCCGACGCCGAGCCAGATTAAGTCCCACCAGGTGAGGCAGCGCTTCATGCGATTCTCGCTCTGTTTGGGGAGCTGGAGGAGCTCGAAGGAGTCGGAGGAGCGGTGGAAGAGGCGGTCCTTAAGGCGGGAGGGGGTGTGGGAGAGTGCGTCCTTGTAGGAATTGAAGTTCTGGAATGAGGGTTCTGGGAAGAAGTCCTGCTTGCTCCATCTGCTCCAGTAGCTTCTGGGTTTTGGGTCCTGCTGGTCTTCCTGCACGGGATGTAAATCCATGGCGGTTTACGGCGGCTCTGAGGGTTGGTAGGTTTTGAAGTGTTGCAGATGCTGGTGTTGGTGTTGGTGTTGGAGTTGGAGTTGGAGTTGGAGTTGGACTTGGAGACGAAGAGGTGGTTGATGGCGGGTGAATTATGGAAGGAAACAATTACTGGGGAATTATAATTGGAGCTGGATTGCCTGCGCTCCCTCATCCTGTAACCTTCTCCTCTCTGATCATGATTAAACTATATTAATATTTTATATTCTTATTATTTTATAAAAAAATCAATATAAAATGTTAACCGTGATCATAGAAATAAAAAATGATGAGAATAGTATGGGATAAAGAGGGCAGACCATCCAGGTCATTATAATTAGCGGTTGATCTTGATCATTAGTTTTTGTTTTTATTTTGGGATGTAATTATGATATTATTACCATTTGTTTTTTTGTTTTGTTTTATTTAACCGTCATACAAGGCTGCCACATTTGTCACGTTTTATTCTGTTAGTATTTAGAAAGAAAATATATTGGAAAATAACTAAAATTACTCAAACAAGAGAGCCACAAGGGCCACATGGCTCAACACCTGCCTAGCAGGAGGGGAGGGTCAAACTCAAATGACATCAAAACGGATAGGGAGCATAAATGACTAACAGTTTAAACATCGGCAAAAAATATGGAGCGTCGTATCACAAGTTAAGAAACCATAAATCGATTTCTTTCACATGAAGAAGACCCATTTATAATCTATTGATCAACATCCACATTTATGATAACTAAACAATGGCAACAAAAAGAATCACGCACAAAACTGTTGAAATTTAACTTAAAAATTAACATCTAGATGAAGGGTCTTATGATAAATGGAGAAGCATAATGATTGGAGTAGGATGAGGTCTAATGCCTTGAAACACAAGGCATAAAACAACTTTACACGGATCTAGCTTTGGAATCATGATAAGAGGAAATTGGTAGGAATCAAAACTGCCTAACCAATCGAGGAAGCAAACGACTCATTATATCATCATGACTAATCGAACGCAAACAAGACTCAAGCTAAATGATTCTCCATATCACATTCAGCTGCAACCATTTTTTCTTGACGGACATGATTGCCAACTACCATCTAGAAACATTATGCAAATTGTTCTCTATTAACCCAATCAATCAAGCACCACCACCTAATCGATGGTAGTGGAAAAATCCTTATTATATACGTTACACAATTATGAAACATCAAGTGGGCAAGGGAGCAAAGCGTTAAAGTGATTGACTGTATGATGGATGAGTCGAGTGAGTGAGTAATTCATTGTCCCCTCATGTTAAGGTCAAATTAAGCATACTCTAAGCTCTCAGGTTAATAGGGTATTCCCTGCCCCAAGGGACGGATGGCAAATCACCTTGTGAAAGAAAAAACATGAAACATTGATGTAATGTCATATTTAGGGGAAAACGCATAATCCCACCCCAAGTAAAATTTATGGGCGTACAGAACAAGTCAAAGTTATTCCACACATAAAACATGATTGTCAAGTGTCATGAAATGATAGATAATTGGATGTTTGGTTCAAAATTTCTACACAACAATACATGCTAGAAAATCTTCAAGCGTCATTTCTCGACAAATGAACATGTCAAACTAAGTCTTAGGTTGGATCCATCCCTTGAGGCTTTTCATTTAAATGGTAAATCCTATTGCGGAAGCACGTGAGATCGCAAGGTGTACTACAATTGCACTAATTGGGGCTTTAGCCTATTCGCGAAGGACCTATAGGGTAGGTAAAAAGTGGTCACAACGAGCATATTTAAATAGTAAAATGGATTCAAATAGGACTTGGATTGTCTGCCCTCCCATTTCGGTGCATTCCTGTTTGTGTGATCACGGTTAAACCACGTCAACTTTTTATATTATTATTATTTTTTGTTTTATTATTTTTATAAAAAAACAATATAAAATGTTGACGTGGCTTAACCGTGACCACACAAAATAGGAGAGCACGGGAGGGCACCGAAATGGGAGGGCAGACAATCCAGGTCCTTCAAATATTGCCACAATAGTGTTACCGCATGAAAAGCTTCAGCTATAAGCTATGTAGGTTACACTCATTAGTTAAAGGTGTCTACAAATCTCATTTTTCAATAATAGAATATGTCGAAATTAAACTCCCAAATGTGGGAGTAAAAATTTTTACATAACAATACATGCTAAAAAATATTTAGGTGTTATTTCTCGACAAATGAACGTGTCAAACTAAATCTGAGGTTGGATCCATCCCTTGAGGCTTTTCATTTAAATGGCAAATCATATTGCACTAGTTGGGGCTCAGCCTCATCGGGAAGGATATATAGAGTAGGTCAAAAGTGGACACAAGCATATTTAAATAGTAAAAGGGATTCAAATATGCCACAAATAGTGTTACTACATGAAAAGCCTAAGCTATAAGCTATGTAGATTACGCTCATTAGTTAAATGTGTCTACAAATCTCATTCTTCAGTCATAAAATATGTCAAAATTAAACTCTCAAATGTAGAAGTAAAAATATCATGTTAATTGTAACCAAATTACACTTTGACACGCATTATTTTCACCACAATGAATTTACAAAAGGGTTAAAAACCCATTATTGTTAGAGTTAAAATCCATACTGAATTTACAAATTACTCATTTTCCATGATCAATACATTTTATTTTTGCAACTCATATGAAAACAAAATGTAGTCTAAAAGCACATTGCAAACATTGTTAGGTTTACGAAATTAGTTCAAGTGGTAAAGTAAAATCGTGTAAGATATTGACATGTACGGAGTTTAGTTTCTTATATATCGATATCGATCAGAACCTCAACAATATATCTAATCCATCTAAGTTACTTTATTTTCATGCATACTTATTGAAATTGAGGCATAAAAATCACACGATCCCCCAAAAATTTGAATTCTTTATTGTAAAAAAGGCAGTACGATTCTCCTCCTTCCCTCAAATTTTCAATTCACCAGGTCGGGCCGGTTGGCCTCCGCAAACAATTACCTCTCTTCGAAAGTTCAATTCAATCCCACGGGAAATCGACCATTAACGTGGCCCGCTGCTAAAAATTATTGGGAACGTCATCCGGCGGGTCCCAACCCCTAACTCCCCATCATGTCATTTGGACAATTTTTTTTTTTTTTTTTGTCAAATCATTTGAACATTTTTTTGACCCTAGTCCACCCCCTCCGGCCTAGATCCTACGGCCTCAAACCAATCAATCAAATCAACTTTTATCATGTCTCTGCAACATGGGTCTGGTGGGCCGCGCACCTGAAGGATTGGCGTCCAAAGGGTCCGCGCCACGTGTCCAGATTCTCAATGAGCACACACTGATGTGGGTTTGCGAGGATGGAGAGGAGAATTACCGAGCTTTAAAAAGTGAGTTGCGTAGTACGAAGTGAAGAACCAGAGAGAGAGAGAGAGAGAGAGAGAAGAGTTTTTGTTTGTTTTGTTTGAGCTTATCATCTGAGGAATCAAAGAACCAATTTTTTTTTTCCAGAAGAGGAGAGTGGAGGGGAGGAAGCAGAGCTCAGAGTGTGAGTTGGGTTTGGCTCAGATTTCTTGCTTGGGCATCTGGTATGCTTCTTCTAGCTGCTCCATTCTCTCTCTCTACTTTTCCAATGGTTTTTCACTATTTTGTACTTACATCTCAGATTTGCATTGCTTGTTCTGTACTGGGTTCCCTTTTGTTTTCTCATTAAATTTGAAATGACAGGAATAATTAGCTGGTTTGTTCAATTGTGGAAGTGTAAGTTTGCCAAAGTAATGTTCTTGCAGAAGTTTTTAGATAAATTTTGAGTTTCTGGCATTTTGGTGAAACACTGCTGGGTCTCCTTTTAGGGATTTGGTTAGCAGAATGCCGTGGTATGTGCCAAGATTGGGGAAAACATGATAAATATCTCAAATCGGTTCTCTTAGATTTCGATTTTGAATAATGGGTGTGCTGAAATGGGAGAGATTTGTTGCTGTTCACATTGCTTCTGTAACCCGTTAGGGTTCATTGGTTCTGTTATTGTTTCGATAAGCAATATTTCGTATATTCTGTTTTATCGGACTGATGAAATGTTTGACGACAATAGTCACATTGAACCAAAATAGATTCAAGCTATATCAACAATGTTATGGTAAATGTAGGTCATATTTACTTTTTAGTTGAATGACCAGTCTGTTTTGAATTCAAAGGCTCAGAATTTAGTCATTTGAATGTAAATATATGTAATGTTCTGAACAAAAATGAAAAATGTAGTCTTGAATTTTATGTTTTGAACCAAAACTATATTTTGTAAAAATTTAAATCTGAAAATTTGACAGGTCGGAGTGGTGGTCCCGTGGAATATGATTTATCTTGCGCTTCATGCTGCCGACCTAGATGTCAATTTATTTTAAATTTTGTAACTTTGAGAGATCATCTCCCGGTTAGTGGCTTTGACGGGGTATTGGACATGAGTATGCTGGTGAGGACATGCTTGAGCCAAGGGAAGCTGATATACCGGTCCTGTTTCTGGTTTTCGTTGTACTCCCTTTGGTTGCTTACGTTTTACTTGGAAAATGGAGTGATTCATCAAAGAAGAGAGACAGGGTAAGTTTGCTTGCTCAACTGGCTGCAGAAGAAGCTCTCAGAGCAGAAGCAATGGCTGTTGCTGCTGTTATTCCTCCTGTGTCTTCCTCAAGTCCTTCAAAGAATGGACTTCAAGTATGTGCCAGATGCTATAGTACAGCTACAACCCGCTGCTCTAGATGCAAATCTGTCAGATATTGGTATGCTCTAATTTGATAGCAAGAACACAGATTTTCTGTCAGTATATTCTCCCTTTATATTTCAATAATACAAAAAAATGCTTGTCTGATTAAAGAGATTGAAACTGAATTTAAAATTGTAGTCTTGCAACCATTGTGACGTATGCACTACAGGATTGGTGTTTTGTTCAAGATCTATTACAGCTGTATCTTCTGTTTAATTTCTTGCTTTGGTTATATAATATAAACTAACATCGGTGCTTGTGTTGTGTGCTCAAACTGTGGTTTTGGAATAGAAAAAAATGAAAACTTGATTTGGTTCCTTTTGGTCAAATTAGTCTTCACCTTATTCAAGCAGTGAACTCAAATATCTATTTATTTTACCTTAAACCATGATTTAGATTTTGGGGAAAGAGTGACTTTAATAGTTAAAGAGTATTATGCTTGTGGATGATATATATTTCTCTTAAAAGTCTTCTGTGAAAGGGAACTAGAATGCAAGCACTGAACTAAAGATCGAGCTAGGGAAAAAAAGTGTGCAACATTCAGCTAACTAAAATCAAGTAGCTCATTTGGGGATTTCATGGTCTTGTACCAAATATGGTAAAAAGGAGAACCGCAAAACAGAAACATGCAAACACATGTGATACTTTTCAGCAAGAACGTGTTATCAAATAAATATTTCTCCTTATGAGCTAAAGGTGCAAACATGATCTCAGTCCCTAAATGTTTATATGGATTATATGCAGTTCTGGTAATTGTCAAATAATTCATTGGAGGGAAGTTCACAGGCAAGAATGTCTGCAGTTGGAACCTACTTGTTCAAGCTCATCTCCTAAGGCTGTCTCATTTGGAGAATCATTTCACGAGAAGTTCTTACCTAATGACAGCATCAATTCACAGTACTTTGGGAGTAAGATGGAGCAGATTTTAGCAGAGCAAGCACCAGCTGATAATATAATTTATCCTTCAACAAGCACTGGTGTCCCTGATATGCTTGACTGTTCTTCGGTTGATACCTCTCAAGTTTCCATGCCGGAGAGAAGAAGTGTGGACAAACGGGTTTCCAGAAAATCCCAGAGAGAATTAAGAAAAAAAGTTGGAGTTGCATTTGATTCTTCTGAAGAAACATCTTTTGGTTGGACTACCCATTTGGAATCTTCTAATGTTAATTCATCAAAAGAGGTTTTTATGGAGCATAAAGTTTGTGTCACTTTGTTATTCTGCTATCATTAATCTTTCTATACATTATGTGATTTCATGTCTGATAATTATGTTGTACTGTTGGCTGCAGTTAAGAAATTATGACACTCAGTTAGCAGGGGAGGGCAATCCTATGGTGCAAAATGTCAATATTTCTGATAGTTATATGAAGGGACAAGCTACTTCAAGAAATACGGTGCATGAGAATGATAAGTCTCAAGGTCAAAATGGCAACATATATGAATCAAGAAGCAACTCTGGATTAACATCCTCGGCATATTCTTCAAAAAGTGGAATAGATGTGCATGAAAATGGGTTGGACTTCATTCCAAATGGAGGAAAATCCCTTAAAGGGGAAATATTATCCAATGATGAAACAACAGATTTCAAATGTGCTGAAATGACAACAATGAAGGCTAGCATAAAGGTTAAAAGAGCTCCGTATTCTCTTGGGAGAAAGGTGTCTAAATTGCCAAATTCAACAATGGAAGTCTCAGGAGAGCAGTGTTACTCAGAGATAGAGAGGCAGGGACATATTGCTGAAGATTCAAGTCAGTCTATTGAACTACTACTCTGTAAATATACCTTTGCACTTCATAGTTGCTATAACTCTATGTTTGTGCTGCAGAAGTAACTAGAATGAGAGATACCACTGCACAGGGTAGCAATGGAATTGCAAACAGTAGGATCATGAAAATGATGGATCTAAAGAAGCCAAAGAACTTGACCAGACAGGAAGTCCCCGAAGTGAATGGTTACCGACAGAAAACTAAGAAGGTCACTATCTCTGTTTGAATATATCACCATAATATATCTCCTGAATTATTTACTATCCTTCTCCATGAGTTATATTCTTTTTCTGATTCTGAGTTGAATGGACTTGTCACTGATGTATTCTTTGCCTCTCAGGTCCTGTTCCCTTATGATGAGTTTGTGAAGTACTTTCAGTGTGAATTCTTTGACTTATCACCTCGGGGCCTTTTGAATTGTGGGAACAGGTAAATTATGATAGCTTATGTTTGCATTATTAGTTTCATGGATTAGAATTTCTTTTTGAACTCTTTCATAGATTAGAATTGAATACTCCATTCATACTTAACGGTAAAATAAAGAGGTGAAGTTTTGTTGATTAGCATGACTAGATCAGAAGTAAAACAAGTATTGATCTCATTGCACTGCTTCTAGTAATACATTAGTTCATGTGTTGTAATTTTTGGTGATTGTCTGCATAGCCTGCCTGTAATTTCCTGATTTTGAATTCTTATGATAACCTTTACATTTCTTTATACATAAAAGAATATACGACTAATAGTAATAGAAGAGAGATAAAGTTTGACTAAAAGGTGACTAATGTACTTTGTGGAGATGCAGATGGGTTGTTGATAATCAGATTCATATAAATAAAGTCCTGAAATTGAACCATTAATTTTTTTCATAGTTGATGTGTTGTATCATTGGGTTATCGTGATTAATAATAATTTATTTTTCTTGCAGTTGCTATGCAAATGCTGTCTTGCAGTGTTTAACCTGCACAAAGCCTCTCATTATCTATTTGCTTCGCAGATCACATTCAAGAGCCTGTACTTACCTTTCGTCGTATCCCTTTAATCTTCCAATGAATTTACATGTCGGCATTTTGTTTATAAGCACATCTGAATCACTTTTGCTGTGATATGTATTAGGTTGTGGTAAAGATTGGTGTCTCATGTGTGAGCTGGAGCAACATGTGATGATGTTACGAGAAAGTGGGGGCCCACTTTCTCCTAGCCGAATTCTTTTTCATATGAGGAGTATCAATTGCCAAATTGGTGATGGAAGTCAAGAAGATGCACATGAATTCTTAAGGTCTGTCTAAACTTACCAGTTATGTGTTCCTTTTCTTAATACTGATGTGCAAGCATTTGTATCTGTACCAACCTCCATATGTATTCAGCTTTAGAAATTAAATTTAAAATATCGAAGTTTCAAATTTTGTGGGAGGAATTTTAGTTTATCATGTGTGCGGTATTTATCCAGGCTTCTAGTTACGTCAATGCAATCTATATGCTTGGAGGGGCTGGGTGGTGAAAACAAGGTTGATCCTAGATTGCAAGAAACAACTTTTATACAACATACATTTGGCGGACATCTCAGATCAAAGGTGCTTATTGCGTATTTTCCCACTTCTCAAGTTGTTATAAATCGTTTTTTCATCGAACTGCTCTTTGTTTCCCTTGTTTTTTAAGTTATATTCTTCTTTGCCCACACTAATCATGGATATATCAATGTTAATGCCACCAGGTCAAGTGTTTGAGATGTCATCATGAGTCGGAACGATATGAGAACATCATGGATCTTACCTTAGAGATATTTGGTTGGGTTGAATCACTTGAAGATGCGCTGACTCAGTTTACAACCCCTGAAGATTTGGATGGAGAAAACATGTACAGATGTGGAAGGTCTGGTAACCCAAATTTAGTATTTGTTAGAACCCAGGTTATGTATGAGTTTTTAGTTTTACCTTAGAACTTCAGTGACTTACAAACTCACATTTTTGTGGAAAAGGTGTGCTGCATATGTTCGAGCCAGGAAGCAATTGAGCATACATGAGGCGCCAAATATACTCACAATTGTCTTGAAGAGATTTCAGGTATTGATTAGATTTAGCATTGAGACTTGAGAGTGAAGAATTTTCTGGTTTTTGGTTCGAATCACAATTCAAATCCCTAGTCATCTCGTGCTTCCAACTTCCACCCATGAAAAAAGGATTTTCAGATTTGGCACCTTCCTGCTAGATAACTGTAGGGCTTTCTGGTTTTATATGCTGGGCACTACTTCTGTTGCTGGAATCCTAAATAACAGCTGGTTCTTCACCAGGAGGGAAAATATGGAAAAATAAACAAGTGCATCACTTTTCCAGACATGCTGGATATGATTCCATTTATGACTGGAACGGGTGACATTCCTCCTCTTTACTTGCTCTATGGTGTTGTGGTGCATTTGGATACGCAGAATGCATCTTTCTCTGGACATTATGTGGCATATGTGAAAGATATGCGAGGCGATTGGTTCAGGATAGATGACACTGAGGTAAACGCCTTTTCTAATCAACATTTTAGAGCAAGGGTTTGGGGATTTTGTGATAATGGTTTAAATTTGTTTTCCTTAAACACAAATAAAATGGAAGTTCAATCTGAATATACCTGCTGAGTGCGTGTAAATATTAAGGGGATCTCTAGGTTAGAATTCCTTTTATTTGCTTTCCTTGCATTTATGCCTTTTGAGTGTTGACATGGTTTCCCTTGGTGCATATGCTTGACAGACAAAGGAATGATTGAAGTTTATATTTCTTGTTTTATTTTCCGTCAATGAATTTGGGTCCTAAGGTTGGTCGTACTTCATAAACAGGTTCACCCCGTTTCAATGAGCCAGGTTATGATGGAAGGAGCATATATCTTATTTTACATGAGGTGAGTCTTATTGGCATTGAAAAGAACCCACCATGATCTCTTTCCTTACCGTTTCTTTATTGGGGGTTTTAGCATTCGTATGATTGTATGTTGGAATATATTAGCATTTAGTAGATAGTACGAACTAAGGTGGTTGTGAACTGGGAGGGGTTCAATTGGTGGTGTTCTACATATTCATCTTTCTTTCCCAGGTCTTGTCCCCGCCCTCACAGAGGATTTTCTGGAAAAGCTATCAGGGAGCAAGTTCCAAATTTCGAAAATCAATGCACGTCGAAAGCTCAGAAGTCAAGGCCAGGCCAAAGCAAACACAGCAGCCAATTTGCTAGTCCAGAGCATTTACCAGATGATATCAGGCCAGAGATTGCAAATGGCTTTGGCAACAGCACCACCAATGACATCCATAGGAGTTCTAACGGGAATGTTTTCCCAATGATGGAAACATATGGTGAGCCCATGGGCGTGGAGTTCTCTGATGCTACGTCAAGTGATTGGTCCCTTTTTACAAGTTCTGATGAGGCCTCTTTCACGACTGAGAGTACTAGAGACTCTTTCAGTACTGTGGATTGTGCCGATGCTTGCAATATGGATCCAATCTCTTCAATTTTCAACACGTTATATGCACCGGAGTATTCTCGCAGTTCTGCATCCTGCAGAAAATTTTCAAATAGTAGGCCACACACTAGATTTGTTTCCAAGGATAAGGGTGTTATTTTGGATTCGTACTCATCAACCCATCCCGTTGACAGAGCACAGAAACGAAACTATTCAAGAAAGGTCAGTGATTCACAAACTGAACACCCTCTGGATACTAAATGCAGCTCGTTTGTAAGATATGGGACTAACCCAATATATAGTCTTGACCGAACCTCGGATCATTGTAAACTCTAATCTATATGAGATACTGATTGAATATATTATTTAGTCTGGTAGGAGCTGTGCCCCAACATTTTTGTTTTCAATGTATTGCTGATTGGGGCATGTTTCATATCAAAACAAGTAAATGTAACAATCTTCTTGTTAGCGATCTAATTAACACCGGAAATTGTAGAGTCCCGGGATTTTCCTTTGCTTCAATCTGTCTTCGGAATATCTTTTGCTTACGAATAAACTTGTGTTTCACCTGTAGCTCATAAAATCTGGTGAAACTATTTGCTACCAGCTGAAGTTCTTTCAAGGAGATGTTCTTTACTTTTACTTGGAAAAGTTAAAATCCATGGCTGCCTACCTTTGGAATCCATTGCTAGATGGTAAACTGTGAGAAAGTTTGACACTAGTAAGTAGTAAAAAACATTATGCACAGGAAAAAGAAGGTATAAATAATTAGCAGGTATGGACTTCCCACTGTAACATGCTGGAAGTAGTTATTGTTTCACCTCTCATTGCTTTCAATATTTAAGTGGAGATTTTGTTGTAGGGTTAACAGTCCTTCTGTAAGGATATGTTCTCAACTTTTCATGTTGAGGCTACCCATTTTCAATTATCGAAGTTGTCTATATTTTAGCTCTTCATTCAAAGGTCATTCTTGCAAAAAATTATTTAAATATAAAGATATTAGATCATCTAAAAAGCGCAACAAACCATAGTTTATTAGACAAAGTGAAAATAAAAATATTGACAATCAAACGACTAAACAATTGTTAATATTGTTGAACCACTCTTTGAGAATAGGATATGCTTTAACTTTCTTAAGAACATCGTTAACTTAAAACAGAGTAAAATGTTTGAATGTGTTACACTACAACTTTAAGCACCAGCCCTATCACTTTTAACTTTAAGCATCAACCCTATCACTTTTAGTACCAATGACACCATTTCTTGCAAAGCGTTACTCAACGTAGACATGTGACTAAGAAAGAAAAATTAAAATATGAAGAGAATAATAACGGGTGACTCTATTCTCCAATACCTGAAATCCGTCTCGATGAAACCGAGAAGAATGGAAGGCATTTTCCGCAGTAGACACACTCCACGCCAATGTTTAATCAAGGACTCTTGTCCGCGATATAAAAGCAGTTCCAGCGTGGGAACCCCTAGGTAATACACTATGTTATCCATCCAGTGAACAATAACTGCCCTTAATGAACAATAACCGCCTTTTGCATCTCCACCGTTGCAGTTCAATAGCCCTAGCAATAGGCAATAAAATATTAGTATTTTTTTTATTTATAAAATAATACAAAATAATTTTATTTGTAATTTCGGATAAGATTTTTAATCGTTCTCGTTGCGCCACGTGTCATAAAATCCAAAAAGACAATTATTGGTGATGAATTTCCGATAAGATTTTTAATCGTTCTCGTTGCGCCACGTGGTATTATCCAAAAAGTTATAAAATAATACAAAATAATTTTTTTTGTAATTTCGGATAAGATTTTTAATCGTTCTCATTGCGCCATGTGTCATAAAATCCGAAAAGATAATTATTGGTAATGGATTTCCGAAAAGATTTTTAATCGTACTCGTTGCGTCACGTGTCATTATCCGAAAATACAATTATTGGTGATGGATTTTCGATAAAATTATTAACCAATTACGTCGTGCCACGTGTCACAATCTTTGAGGATAGATTTCCATCAGATTTTTAACGAATGACGGCATGACACATGACATTATCTACAACATAATCCTTTCTGAATCCTCCATATAATCCACTATCCATCCTCACAAATCTCACACCAATTTTCTCAAGATCTCTATCATTATTCATAGTTTCTACTTCATTCTTCACCAAAATCTCTATCATTATTCATAGTTTTTGCTTCATTTTTACAATGACTTCTTTTTCAAGGATAATGTGGGAAATCAATCAGTAAGAGGAAGAATTATTTAACCAATCAGAAGGAATGTTCAATCTCCAAGTGGCCCAAAATGAGATGGAAGAGGATGATGAGCGTAGAAGGTATTTATAGAAAAGTAAAAACAAACTTCAGATTGTGCCACGTGACACAACGGTAACATTTCTGAATTTTAAAACTATTTTTTTTATTTATAAAGGAGAATAATATCAACCGTTGATCTCAGATCCAATTGTTGATATTAAATAAGATTTTTTTATTTTTTCTATCGTTGCAAATCTGATGGTTCACATTTTCTTGATGTTGAGATCCAACAGACCATGGGAAGCCACGTGGCTTCCTAACGGTAACAATTTGAAACTGCACCGCAAGACCCATTCGTTGAAAATATGTCGGGTGATGCGCCCCCACGCGCGGATGCAGTGCACGCGCCTGATAGAAAAAACGAAAAAAAACAAAAGGGGCTGACGTCAGCCTGTGTCAGATAACCTTCGGGCTCGCGAGCTGGCGTGACAGGCTTGGTGCTCAGGCCTACCTTGGCCCTCGGGCTCCCACATGCTGGAGTCAATAGGCCGGGCTCTCAGGCCCTGTTTGCTGGCCGGTCCCCCGAGCTACAGCCAACGCTAGAAGTGCTCTAATGCTTATCTAGATATCTATCTAAAACCAACCATACCAAAAAAAGGTAGTGATGCGTGCACACTTTTAGCATCTCTATGCAATTATGCTTGGTTTTTGTCCGTTGATTCCTTCTTGGATTTATTAATCTAAAGGGTAGAAACAAATTGAAAAATGTATGAAAAAAAGGAAAATATATCACATGGGAGAAAGATTTATGTAAACGGGTTTAGGCAATAAAAACACTTACGAAAGAAAGCTTCAGTGGTACATGATTTCATTTAGGACCCTCTTGTCCTACAGCTCTTTAAGGAAGTAAACAAGTTGAAGGCTGAATGACAAGTTGAGATACCTGATTGGAACCAACCTAAGGCTGGCCCTCTTACAAGAAGGATCCTCGACATATATCGAAAGAAAATTATTATTAGCACTTCAAAAATCTGATTAGATTTTTTAGATTCTAGAAGGAGCCATGGTGTCTGGCAGGTTCGATAAGAACACGCTTTGGACAGCCTGTGTTGAAAGTGAATGAGATTAGTATCCTAAGTTTTTTATTATTTAAATAATTTTGATATTTTAGGTATTAGGGTTTTTTAAGTTTCTCTATAAATGCTGGCAGGAACCACTGCGCCAACCCTCCACCCCTGCACCCAGAGCCCCTGCATCCCGCCTCATCTGTCGTGAAACAGAACCTTGATGCGATGAATCTTCCGTCCGCCTGAACCACGGCCTGACCCAAATCCGTGTTTTATGAAGCCCAGACCCAAATCCGTCCCGCACCGCCAGATCGACACAGCGATCCATAGTCGCCGACCCGGATCCCATCTGCTCGCCTGCCGCACCACCATCAATCCATCTGACCTTGATCCTCCATCCTCAGCCGCTTGCTGCCTTGTTCCTCCTCCTAAGGTACTTAGCTCACTCAAAAATCAGTTTCGAAATATGTGTTTCTATTGCTTGATTGTTTATATGATCTTTGCTAAGCTTTTAAGTGTTTCGATTGTCATTTCTTTTTAGAAATTGGGCTATAAGCTTTGCACATGTAATTTATCTGGTTATATCTCAAGTTTCATTGGTACCTTAATTCTGTTATATCTTATACGGCATTCTTAAGAGTAAATCCCTTTGGTTGGTTGATCAGTCAACAATCACAGTTTGAAATATCTAATCCCTGAACAATATTAAGATCATCTGTCCAATGTGTTCTTTTTTTTATTTTTCCTTGGCGTTTTGGGACGATTAGTCTACGTTGTTCCTTAATCTTTGCTCAATATGGGTTAATCTCTCCAAGACTCTAGTCTTACCTTGACCATTACCTCTGATCAGATTATCAAAGCAATGGCTGAAGGTGAGGACGATTTGAGCTCCCTGCTTTCAAAGAGATTGGATTGCTTTGGGGTGTGGGAGATAAGCTGCAGAAACTTGAGCTGATTGTTGCCCAACTCCAATTTGTGCTCCATGAGCAAACCAGTTATGAAGTGATCAAAGTGTGGCTCCAATGTGTAGGTGATTTAGTTTTCGAAGTTGATGACGTGCTGGATGAATTCCGTACTGAAGCTCAGTGAAAACCTTCATGGCTGAAGGGAATACAGTGTTTAAAGAAAGTACGTATTTTCTTCCCTAGTTCGAACCAATTTGTTTTTCGGATGAAGATTGCCCATAAGATCAAAGATATTAGAAAGAAATTTAATGTTTTTGCATTACTTAGACGTTTTTAGTTAGAAGAGTTGCTTACTTGAGATCTTACAGTTTCAAATTAGTGAGAGGGTGAGTCATTTGTTTGTGCATGCAGATAATGTAGTTGAGAGAGAGATAAAAGGGCAATGATTCAACTCCTGTTGAATCTCATATGTCAAGAGATTATATTCTTTGCTTTGATAGTTGGTATAGGAGGATTGGGCAAAATTGTAATGTCCAACCCCTTTTTCCATGACAAAGGGGTGGTTAAAAGTAATTTTTAGCTGAAAATGTGGGTGTGTGTGTTAAACACACATTGACTTAATACACTTGCCATAAAGATTATTTAATCTGGCACTAAGGAAAAATCCAAAAATCTTGAGGTAATCAAATGCCAAAAAAGAATCAGGAAGAAGATAGATTTGAAAAGGTTCCTTCTTGTGTTAGATGATGTATGGAATGAGAATCTTTAGAAGTGACATAGCTTTGCTGATAGGTGTTGCAAAAATGAGTAGAATACTAATAATTACTCGTAGTGAAATTGTTGGTACGAGATTAGACACATCCAAGCTATACATTTTAAAGGGTTTGGATAAATAAAATCTTGGTTGTTATTTAAGAGAATTGACTTTTTAAGATAGAAAAAAACCAAGGAATGCAACAATTAAGACAGCAAGGGAGGAGACTGTTAGTATTTATCAAGGAGTTTCGCTTGTCATGAAGGACGATATGTCAGATGATGTATGCTGCAATGTGGAAACAAAGTGGTTGAGTTTTAAGGGTAAAATGCTTTCAAGAATAAGTAAAAAATAAACTGATATTTTGCCCATTCTCAGTTACAATGGTCTTCCAGCAAATTTCAAGCATTGTTTTGCTTATTATAGCTTATTCATACCCAATTATGAGATTTCTGTGCATCAATTAATAAAACTTGTGATGACGCTTCATTAAGTCTTCAAATGAAATTAATAATTTGAAAGATATTGG